ACTGTTTATTATCATCATTTATTTTCATGCTCAACTATCCTAGATTTGGCCAGTGTGAGCCCTCCAAGTTAGCTCCTGTGTCTTTTTGACACGTCCCCATCCATTGTTCTCTGAGTACTGACCCTCTCTCTGGCACATATAGTCTAAGTTAATCTTGTACTTTCTGCATCAGCCCTAGAACCAGCCAAAGAGAACCTTTCAGTGGACAATGGTACTTAGAAGCCAAGACAGGCACGTGTGCTTATTGCTACCACTGCTCCAAGGCCCTCTCAGGGACAGAACCAGGGCATATATGTGCATACACCCCCCCCCACACACACACACACACTGACACTTTTAATTCCAGTCTAACACTACAGGATTAACTGTGGGTCTTCTCTTGTACATATATCCTCCACTGATGGTGTGAAACCTGGCCGGCATTATCCTTACTATGTGTACTTATCCGGTCAATCCCCCTCCCTGTACATAACCACTCTCCCATCACCGCCGCCAACCCCTGCTGTGCACAGCCCCCTCTCACCCAACTTGGGCTCACATCCCACTCCAGGCCACCCGCCTTATGGACCCTCTCTCTCTTCACCCTATCTGGGCTCTCATATCCCACACTGGGCCATCCAGCATGGATACCTTCTTATAGGACTTGGACACCCACATCCCATGCTGAGCCTTTACCCCAAATGAACATTCTCCTCATCTATTTGAGCTCTGACATCCCATGCTGGGCTGCCCACACATGCAGAGACCCTCTCTCCCTTGAGTGCTTTTCCCATCTTGCTTGGACTCTGACAGCCCACACGAGGTCACACTTCTATGTAGAATCTTACCTGCTCTGCCCACTAGGTGTCTTTAAGACTGAATTATTCATGAAAGGGAAGGGGAAGAGGAAAGGTGAAAGGATTCCCTTTGTGAGAAGAAACAAGAGGAGGATGCATGCTACCCCTTCAACTCCTAGACACCAAAATAAGATAGGAAAAAGAAAAAAGACATACAAGGACTGGAAAGAAATAAAACTGCTGTTAGCCACAGGTGATGATTGTGCTGAAAGTCTAAAAGAATGGACCGATAAAGTATTAGAATTGATGAGATGTTTATGTCTGGTTCTTTCATACAAAAATCAATATACAAAAAATGAGTACTATTTGATCTACAAACAGAAAATAAATTTTAAATAAGATATTTATAACAGCACCAGAAAATCTGAAGCAATTATTAATCATAAAGGAAAAAAGGCTCTATGGTAGAGAGGCCTGGTGGTCGCCACCTTATCCAAGTAATCAAACCAAGCATTACCAATAGAACAACGAACGGGGACAGTGTGTGCCTCCTAAATGATGCAAAGTATCCTATGTCATGTAGGTTGTAGTCTTACCAAAATGTGAGTCTAATGAGGAAATAATCAGACAAATCCAGGGTGTGAGAAAGCCTACAAGACAACTGGCCTTGCGTCTTCAAAAAGTCAGTATCATGGAAATGAATTTTCTATATTAAAATATCATACATTAACAATCCAAAGCAATGTATGAACCTTGATTGGGTCCTGGATCCAGGGGAAAAAAAGGTCGCCGATGGGTAAAATGGTACTTCTATGCTGTTTCTTTATCATTTTTTCAATTATCCTATGGCTTCATGTTTTCACACCTAGCTATTGGTATCTGGTTATAAGACATAAAAATCAAATATTNAGCAACGTCCTCCACAACTAGACTGAAGAACAAAACAACAGCAACTTGTCTGTTCCCCTTCCCCCAATTCCCCAGCACTGTTTCCATCCCTCCAATTCCCCAATAAAAATCTTAAAACAAAACAAAACAAACAAACAAAAAAACGAACAGTTAACATCTACAGAGCACGTACTACACACAGCAGGTGCTGGTCTCAGTACTTCAAATGGAATTCTTTATTTAATCTTCAATACTTCAAAATAAAAAAAACATATTTAAACAAACCTACAACTATAAAAATAAAAAAATCAGGAGTACTAAGTCAGTCTCTCAGATTTTTCCTCAAGTACCCAAGGGTGGAACAGAGCTGAGGAAAAGACGCTCTACCCCAGGAATTTAGTGGACAGTCAGGAACAGCCTGTGGGAGGTGCTAACATTCTTCAAATACTCAATTTTTCTTTCAAATTCACCTACATTTTACATTTTACTTCAAAATAAATCCACACTTGTTCAACAATAAAATGGTTCTAAATATTTGACACGTACATTACTTAACCTCTTCCTCAAAAATCTTCCAGAAAATGACCACCTGAAGCAAAAGTCACCTTGTTCAGCCCACAGGACGCTATCTCATCATGCAGGCTGGCCGGCCCTCACCAGGCCGCTCCAGCCCTAAGAGGCCTGGACACAGCTCCACTACTGGCCCACCACAAACACACAGCTAAGAAACGTGGAGGGGAGGACCAGGTATTCCCAAGGTTCAGCACACATCTGATGGCCTCGCATGAAGAACATGGCTGAGGCCTCGCCGGGCCCGGCCTGCTTACCCAGGGGCTCTGTGTCCTTCTGGTCAGCTTTCCTGTGCACCATGGCTGGATATGTGATGGT